CCGGGGCAGCGCCGCCCCTCCTCTGCCGGCGCGCAGCGGGCGGGCTGCGTCGGGCCGGGGGGCGCGCGGCCTCCCGGGGAGCGGAGCGGGGCCGGCGGCCGGCCCTTGCACGCCAGGGCGCTTGGCATCATTTCTTCCAACGCCGCACCCGCACCCGCACGTACCTGTTCCGCCGATGGGTGACACCTGCGCGCCGCTCGGGCTCCGGATGAACCAACCCGAGCACCGCGTGAAACGGAGTGCCCGCGCAAGCGGGAAACGGGCAGTCGGGACAGTTTCTTGGAACAGGGACGGTTTCGTGAAGCCCCGAAGCCGCCTCGTCCGCGCTTGCCCGTCGGCCGGGGGCAGGGGCTTCCGTGGCTCCGCTCCAGGACTCCCGCCATCCGGCCAGGAACGCGCCACCGGTTGGCCTGAGCAGCTGAGCTGGTGGATAAAAAGGAGGCGTGCAAAGGGGCGCCCACCTGCTTGATAACACCTGCCCTTTTTTTTGCAGTGAGTCACCAGATGCAGCGGGCAGCGGGCAGCGGGCAGCGGGGGGGGGGGGCAGCATACTAGATATTGTGAGATGCTCTCGCAGCCCCGGCACCCTCGAGTGGTTTTCAGTCAGAGTTGAGCCTGACTCTTCACGACCCCATGGACCACACTTCTCCAGGCCCCCCTGTCCTCCACCGTCCCCCGGAGTCCCCCCAAGCCCACACCCACCACCCCAGTGACCCCATCCAGCCACCTTATCCACTGCCGTCTCCTCCTTCTTTTGCCCTCTATTGTTCCCAGCATCAGGCTCTTCTCCAGGGAGTCCTTCCTTCTCATTAGGTGGCCAAGTATTTGACCGTCATCTTCAGGATCCAGCCTTCTAAAGAGCAGCCAGGGTTGATCTCCTCTAGGACTGACCGGTTTGATCGCCTTGCGGTCCAAGGGACTCGCAGGAGTCTCCTCCAGCACCACAATTCAGAGGCCTCAATTCTTCGGCGCTCAGCCTTCCTTGTGGTCCAGCTTTCACAGCCATGCATTGCAACTGGGAAACCTATAGCCTTGACTATACGCACTTTTGTCGGCAGGGTGATGTCTCTGCTTTTTAGGATGCTGTCTAGATTTGCCACAGCTTTCCTCCCAAGGAACAACCATCTTTTAATTTCTTGGCTGCAGCCCCCATCTGCACCCCCCCTCCCCGGCCCGTGCATGCTGCAGGTACCGCCTTTCTGCCCCACACCCAGCACCGCCGTTTTTCAACTGGCCCCCTTTTGAAAAAGTTTGAGGACCCCTGCCATGGCCCTTGCTGCTCAGGGGCTGGAGAGAGGGTACGCCAGACACTTGCTTCACCTTTCATCTCCTGAACAGGTGGGGGAACTCCCCCTGCATCTCCCTCCCGCTCCAGCTCTGAAAAGCTCTCCTCTCTTTCTCACACTCTGCCTGAGGAACTTCACTCAGAAAACCTGAAACTTCCCCACCCCTCCCCAGCAAGATCAGCTGCTTAAGCTTTCTGTGCACGCACCATGTTCGCACGCAGATGCCCCCCCTCGGAGGTGCCTTCTCATGGGTGGAATTCTCCCTCCTGACAAGTAGCAGGTGCCCAAATGCTGTTTTAGGCAAGGAGCAGACAATCCTGTTTTCAGAACTAGGTATGAGGCATTGTGGGACGGAGATCTAACATAATGATGCTTTTATTGTTGTAGTGTGGAGAAGTGAGTACATGCTTTGATATAATTACCAGCTTCAGAACAGTGGATGTAATTTGTACAGTTAATGAACTGAGCACAGATGCTGTTCTCTGTGAGGAACAGGTGGCGGCCACGGGAATGTTAGAGGTCATGAGGGTTTTATGAGGATCCAGAGAATCCGTAACCAGCCTGAGAGATCACGTGCTCCCACTGGCGGAATGAGGAACCAAAATAAATTAAGGGAACCGTTAAAGACTGGGGCGAAGATAGATGCAGAGTTCTTCCCGCTAAAGTCTGGGAAGAACGGAGAGTATGGAGGGCGACTGCCGCCGTGTCAGGGCCAGGCCAGGCACTGCTGAGTCCCAGGGACGCCTGTGGCCCATGGTTGGCCCGGGAAGGCCGCTGCGATCTCGAGAGACACGGGGCAAGGAGGCAGAGCGGCCCCAGCAGGCCTAGTCACCGCTCCGCCCTCACTCGGACGCAGGCTTCAGGTGCTTGGCTGCTTCTAGCTGGGTTAGCATGTCATCCCACTGGACAAACTGCTTAGAAAGGAGAAGCGTCTGGAGGGGTCTGTTAAGGAAAAGGAGGCTGGGGAGCTCGACCAAAACAGCAGCAGCAGAGGCGGAGCCCGGCAGACCGTGGCAGCCGGAGGAAAGCTGGCGTGACAGAAGAGGGGCGGCTTCTGTCCACACAGCGGTGCGGCACGGCACGGCAGTCCACGGGCTGTGCCACCCCTGCTGCGTGCGCTGCGGTAGAAAGGATACCATTTTGTTGTAATCCTCTAGGAGCAACCGGACATTCTCCGACACTGCTTCACACTGGTCCTGCAACATCACGGGAGTTCTGTCAGATATCTTCTCCTAACAGTCTGCAAAGCTACTAGCAGGTTAGAACTAAGCTGCCAACAAACTTGGGCTTCTACATTCCCTGCTTACCCTCTGGTATGAACACTCAACATCGGGCAGCTTTCCTTCAATCTTGGCTTAATCACAACTTGTTGTGTCTAAACTGTCAGGCTGGTAATGTGGTGCAAATGTAACTTGAACCTGGCTTGCTTCAAACCAGCCCTGCTTACCATTAACCAGTTTGTGACTTTGGCTGATGGAGGCAGACAGTACACACTCCTTTCTGCAGCCGTGCCAGAGGCCCCCCGTGGCTCACGCCCGGCAGGCGGAACTGCCATTCAGCATCATGGCCAATCAGTGCCCGTGGAACACAAGCGGAAATGTGAGATGAGGTTTCAAGGTGCTTACTTGTGGTATCTAAAGTTAACTGCTTTCAGAATAAGTTGTTGGAAGATGGTGTATACACAACTAAACAAACCACTGCAAAAGGCAGGCAAGAGAAAGGGGAATCATCCGGAAAACACAGCCACTTTTCAAAATAATTAACGACTGCCTCTGTTGGTGGACAGTGTTCCCAGCATGTGCCCAGCGCCACACGGCAGGATCGTGCCACTGCTTTATTCTCGATCCCTCCTAACTGGATTCAATTTCTCTCTGAACCAGACCCAGCTCCATGCAAGGAACGACATCCCGCCCTTTGCCTCTCGCTGCAGCAACGGCAGATTGTAGCAAAGGACAATTAGCAACTTGCCATACAAAGCTGCTAGGCACTGCATTGTTGGCAAGCCAGGACAGGGTCTGCAACACTTGTAGAAGACAAAACTGTTTGTTTAAAGCATCTCATTCAAAGGCTCAATGCTTTACAACCTGCTTTAAATTTCATTCTGGTAAAAGTGGATTGGGAGGATTGTTGTTTGGTTCTCCAACTGAGACTGGCTACAAAAACTTGAAACTTTATATATTCATTTTTTATGCTTTTCCTCCTTATTTTGCTTGCTGTTGCTGACAGTGTTGGTCAACAATTATTCATTCTAATATTTCACAGACTTGCACATGGTAGGCATGTCATGAGCAGGGCCGGCTGGGACCAGGGGTCGGACTGGATAACCCAGGAGACCCCTTCTGACTCGTCGTTTTTATGCTTCCGTGTTTCTCTGTTCAAATGGCCCTCGCCTGCCCCAGCAGTCTGCACCTTCAAGGCAAAGCTGCAAAGGCTTAGTAACCTATCTCCCTAATCAAGAGGAATCTGTCTTTTAATAAGAAGATTCCTTTGAAGGGGGGAAACTGTTACCAATTGCAGCACCTCAAAACACCCCAAAAGTATATGGCCACATTTGTTCCACTGCGACACAGCTGAGGTGAGAAGCTGAAACCATGCCCCCGTTCTCTGCTGCCACCACGCAGTCAGCCTACCTGCTGCTGAATGTGGATCTGGGAAAGCCTCTGCAGTTTAGCAGCATGGTCAGGAGCAGCTGCAAGAGAGAGCAGAAGGACGGCCAGGCTGTTGATTCTTAGGAATGACGCTTAAGAACGTAAGTTATGCTGTTTTTTAAACGTGTCGGACTCAGGGAATTAGAACATTTAGTCATAGGAGGAGAAAGTGGCAAACAATGGTACAGGATATGTGCTTTTCTTCAATGTGAGCATTTTCACAGTGATGGGGTTACATTAAAAAAGAACAAGCTCTGCTCAAAAGGGGTAACAATCTTACAAAACAAGACGATGGCATGCTTTTATTATGCAAACACGAAGGCATAAGCACGGATGTGGGGAAAAAACCTAACACACACCGAATCAGAGTCTGAAGAACTGCGATTCTGGCGAAATGCGCAGCAGATACAGCTCTGATCTCCCGGTACAAAGGAGAGTCTGGTTCCGAGAGTAAGGGACAGACCTAGGGACTCACCTTTGATGTGTGCACTGTCCAGGTAGGGCTGCAGGCTGTTCACCTGCTCCAGCAGGGCTGCTTGAGCCATGATCGACTGCTCTTCTGATGGAGGAGGACACAACAACAAACCTGAGAGTGGTACCTTTATGGCCACAGGTAACATATTCTACCCTCACTATAGCAAATGAATGACCAGGTAGTTAAAAAAATCTAGGACTATTTAACAGTGCATATCTACTCCGAAGTCCTAATGGGTTCACTGGGGTTTATTCCCAGGTGAGTGCAGGATTGCCGATTAAAGAACACAAGATTTAAGTAACTACAACGATGGCATTCAGACCATTCCCTGAAATATAGAGGCTCACCCAGAGCTTCCAAGTTTAAAAAATGAAAACCTCTCTTGAATTACCTGCCAAGATGAACTGCAGTTTCATAGCATCTGGAATAGCCATTCGATCAATGTACTGAGGATCCAAATATTTTAGGATATCTTCAACTTGGTCCAGAAATGGCAAATAATGAGAGAGAATTGGAGTGTTAGAACATTGTAACAACAGGAAAAGACTGTTGATTCATGCAGAATGTATGGCAGCCAGTTATGAGCTCCCTTATACTTTCTTGAAAGTAACAACAGCCAAGAAAATGGAGCCACAAGGGACAAGATTCACTTACCTCGAGCTCCCAAAATCACTTGATGGCCTTAAGCGGTCTATGACCTTGTCCACAAATCATGATGGCAGTTTCTGGTTTGCTTACCCAGTAAGCGCGGGGTGAGCACGGGGCAGGAACCCCAACTTCCCATTCCCACTTTAAGAACCCAGCAGTGCTGATCCAGGGTTGTTTTGTGACACAGGAACTTCTGAACTGCCAAGCTGCGAACCGACCTGCGACTTCTCCACCCTCTTTCCCTCCCGCTCTGAAGGACCACGACTGGACAAGCAAAACAGTCCGTCTAGCACAACATGCAGGGCTGGAGAACAAGGAGGGGAAGGCTGGCTAGGCCAGGCCTCCCACCCCGCCTGCATGATCAGAAGCCACAGAGTCTGGGGGCTTCCAGTCATCAAAGGGGCAACCAAGAGGATTGTGCCAAAGATTTATGCTAGTCCCAGCAACCTTAAAAGAAGAAGAGGGTTGTGCATTGTGCTCCACAAACTACTTCTCCCCCCCCTCCCCCCGGTAGCACTGCCCTCCTTCAATAGACCCTTCATGCTTTTGCAATATCCAGCAATCACCTTTTTATTCAGAGGGGATCTGTTGGCGACATACAGGTGTGTGAGGGGGTGTCACATGGAGATGGGCAGAGACCTGTTCTCCCCTGCAGAGGAAGGCAGGACGCGCTCCAAGGGAGCAAAGCTCAGGGAGCCAAGGCTCCATTTAGGTGCCATGAAGGACTTCCTGACAGTGAGGACCCCGAGGGTGTGGAATGGGCTCCCATGAGAGGTCGTTGAGGCCCCATCGGTGAGGGTGTTCAAGGATAGGCTGGACGTCCACATGGTGGGCATGTTGTGAGCGAAGCCGGCTAGTGCCGGAGGTCAGACTAGATGGCCCGGGAGGCCCCTTCTGACTCGCTCTGTTTTCTATGTTTCTATTTCAGCAGTGCTTAAGTTTGATTGAAACCAACAACATGGTTTTGAAAAAGTTAAAGTACATACTTTTTTTGAAAAGAATTTTAACCCTCTCTCTTTTGCTTGCAATGTTCCCCAAGGCCACCTGGACTTTGACCAAGCCATCTGCTATCTAGAAGAGAAAAAAATACTCTTAATAACAATGTAGATCAACTTTACACAACTTCACACAAACAGCAGTATACTTGAACACACACAAAAAGCAGAAAATTTAAATGTGCACAGTTTAGGGAGAAACTCTGCTTTTTCTAGTGTGGAACATGGAACCATTTGCATTCACCTACCTCCCAGAGCCTTTCTCCAGGGAGTAATTTTCACAGCAGTGAAAAAGCGTGTGACAGCAACCTGAGTGGGGCATGACTTGTGTTTCACTCAAGACGAAAGAGAGATAGTTCAAATCTCTGTCCATCACAGAACCTACTGGGCTACCCTGAGCCTAAACTACCTCACACGATGGTTCCACTGCGGCTAAAATGCAACAAATAATAGAAGAGTGGAGTTGGAAGGGGCAGAAGGCCATCGGTTCCAACCGCTACCGTTGCAGGACATCACGTTACACCATCCCACTCAGAGGGCTGTCCGGTTTCTTTTGAATGTCTCCAGTGTGGGAGAGCCCCCCACCTCTCCAGGCAGCTGGTTCCACTGTTGCATTGCTTTTCTATGCGCTGTTGCATTCTTCACAGTGAATGAAGAAACTTTTCCTGATAACTAGCCTGAACCTGGGTTGCTGCAACTTGAGGTGATTATTCTGTGTCCTTGTGAGCCGCCCCGAGGCTTCGGCGAATGGGGCGGCATAGAAGCTTGCTAAATAAAATACACTCTGGTATCAGTGAGAAGAGGATTGGGGTTAGGGGTCTCCTGTTCTCAAGGCTGAGGGAGAACCCAGTCTCTCCTCACAGGGCAGTGTTTCCAAACCCTGGATCATTTTTGTTGCCCTCCTCTGGACCCTTTCTAATTTTTCTGCATGTTCCTCAAATCTTGGTGCCCAGAACTCTGGCCTGGGCAACTTCTTCTTCCTTCTCTTTCTCCTCCTATATTTTTATTTTATACTGATAATTTTAATTTTGTATTTGTAAATCAATGTATTTTTTGTATTGTTATATTTAATGGTAATTTATTATGTACTATTGTATTTCAATGTATTTTATCATGTTGTAAGCCGCCCCGAGGTTTCGGCAAGGGGCGGCATAGAAATGTTATAATAATAATAATAACAACAACAACAACAACAACAACAACAACAACAACAACAACAACAACTAGACACAGGATTCCAGATGAGGTCTGACTAGTGAAGAGTCTAGGGGAACTATTACTTCTCGTGATCTGGATTCTATTAATGCATCTCAAAATAGCATTTGCCCTTTTTGTGGCTGCATTGCATTGTTGGCTCATATTTAGCCTGTTGACCACAATAATTCCTAGGCCTTTTTCATTTTCATTTCTGTTGAGCCACATATTCCCCATCTTGTATTGCTGCATCTGATTTCTTTTTCCTAGGTGGAGGACTTACCATTTGTCCCTATTGAATCTCATTCTGTTGCTTTCAACCCAGCATTCATGTTTTTCAAGATTGCCCTGGATCTTCATTCTGTCTTCTGGGGTGTTTGCTATTCCACGCAGTTATGTATTGTCTGCAGATGTGATTATTGTTCCCTGTACTTCCTCATCAAAATCATTAATAAAGATGCTGAAGAAAACTGAGCTTAGGACTCAACCCTGTGGCACCCCACTAGTTAACTTCCTCCAGTTTGAGGAGGAGGCCCAGCCCACATGTAACTGAGAGCAGGGCAAGGACAACGCAGTTCTCATGCCAGCAAGGAGAGGAATTAGCTCAGCACAGCATAGGGAGCAGGAGCGCACCGAACAAGAGAGAATCGGTGGAATTCTGGGCCCAAAGGAACAAACTAAGGCTGCTAATTGCTGGGAAAATTTTGTCTCCATGTGTGCCGAGATGTGTTATTTCTCAGCATATGCCTGGACTGAGCCCCAAACAGTCAAAATTCATCCCGTGGCTGAGTCAGCTTTAAGACCTGCCTGACTTCCCATAAGCAGCAAGATAAAAAGAAGAGAAAAACAGGTTGCAATGAACCCAATTTATTCTATCAGTTACGTAAAACCAGAAAGCAGATGGCCTGTCTTTTGAAAAACCTCTGCTGTGAACAAACTTCTGAGTTACACTGAATGCTTTGGTAGGCAGGCAAGCAAGCAAAAGCACGCTTATTGCTCACTCACTTTATTTAAATGGCTCAGACAACTGTCTACTGAAGGCAATGGACCAACCCTTTGTTCAGTTTATTGAGGTACAAGCCACTCTCAGCCTAGCTTCTGTCGTTCACTGCCTTGAGCAGATGAAAAGAGGTAACTGGCCCAGGCTCAGAATTTTCTGGACTTCTGCCAAGACACCCATTCCGGTGTCACAATTGAAATAAGTACATTCATTTATAATCGATTGCATAGCCATATTGTTCTGTCCTCCCAGTAATTTTTCAGAGGCTCAAGTAGATATAATTCTAATTGAAAGAAGGAAGCTATAATAAAAAGCTAAGAAATGAGCCATTGCAAAGGCACCACCAGTTTTAATAAGGAGAGGTTTGTTAAAAGGGGGTAAATGTCCTTATTGGGAAGATAAATGAACGGGTTCTGTTACCCTAAGGCAAGAAAGGAGCAATTGCGGGCCTTCATTACCCATCCTCACCATTATCCTGGCTTTGCATTCGCTTTACACTTCTGTGCGTTGTTCTCAGCCTGCTTTTCCTTTCCAGAATTAGCAGCCACCTGATGCTGAGCTAAGCAACTCCTCCTATGTCTTGAGGTTCCCCAGTGGCCTTTTGCCTCCTGTCTGACAGTAAATCCAGTCGCTGCTGCGGGGGGGGGGGGGGGCTCTGCATCAAAGTAAACATGTTCAGGACTACACTGCAGGACTGCCCAAAAATGGTACTGTAATGAAATTGCTTAGCTATTTTTGCTTTTTCTTCTGACATCCGCCTTTTTCCCTCTTGCCAGGAGCTCAAGGAGACATACATAATCCTCCTTCTCTCCATCTTATTCTCACAATACCTCGTGAAATGTATAAGGCTGACAGTCAGTGGCGGGGCCAGAGTCACTGGGAAGCTTCATGGCCGAGTGGGGACTAGATCCGGGGTCTCCCGAGTCCCGCCCTGCGCGCCAACCACACGCCACTCCGCCCACTCTCCTTCGGCTTCATGGCGGCGCCCCCTCCCCGCCTCCATCTCTGGGGCTCTGTTCTCCCCCAGTACACGGGACTCGCAGCCAGCGCCTGGCACCAGGGAGAGGCGCGTGCGGCCTTCCACCTCTCCTGGAACTCCGAGCTCCATCAGCCCCAGCCAGCCTGGCGAGCACTGAGGAATGATGGGAGCTGGAGTCCCACGGCGGCTGGAGGGCCGCGGGTGCCCCGCCCCGCCGCCTCGAGGGAGCGTCACCAGCAGCAAGAGCGGCCGCACCGCCGCGGAAGGGACCGGCCGGGCGGCTTTACCTTGCGGGCATCCGCGGCGCTCTCGGCCCCGGCGGGCGCCCCGAAGACGCGCTCCTCCAAGGCGTCGAGCCGACGCTGCAGCTGCTGCACCTCCACGGCTGCCACTGCCGCCATCTTGGCCACCGGAAGTCCGTGAGGAAGACGGCCAATCGAAAATGATTTGACCGGAAGTAGGGAAGCCGGAAGAACATAGAGCCAGACCACTGAAAGGCCGAACAGCGCGGCGACGGGGACCGGAAATGCCGGCAAGGGCTGCAGGGTCGCGTGCCTCCGTCTCCATGGAGATCGGCGTCGCTTGCCGTTAGCCTCTATGGTAAGTGCCTGGAAGACGCGCGGAACGCCCGCTCTTCCAAACCGGAAGCGCCGTGCTGCGCCGTTGCTATGGGTAACTCGGGCGTTGTTATGGAGACCGTGCGGCTTGGGGCCCGCTTCAAGGCTCGCGGGGCCCGGCCGGGTTGAGCGGAGGGCTCCGGGGGCGCCCAGTGCGGAGGCTGGGCCCCGTCTGCCGCCAGGACCGCGGCCAGGGAATGAATGGAGCCGCAGGCCCTTTTCCCGGCTCGCCAGGCCGGGGCGCGCTGGAGGTCCGCGGCAGGCGCCTCCCGGGCACAGCCACGCGCCGCGGCCGTCTCGGGGCGCATCTCCGCCAGGCTGGGCCGCGGAACGCGCGGCGAACGGCCCATTGCTCGGTGGGCCCAGGCGCTGTTGCCGAGGCCGGGATGAGGGCAGCCCGGCCCGCCGCCCCGAGGCCCTGGCCCTTTGGAGCGAGCGCTTGAAGGCCCCGGATCGGGGAGCGCGCCGGGCAGGCGCTGCGTGTGCTCGGGGGCAGCGCCTCTGTCGTCTTCGGGCCGGGCCAGCTCGTATGTCACCCAGGAGCGGTGCTGCCTTTGCCCCTGTTGCCGTACGTAGAAGGTGGGAAGTGGCAGGATCTGGCCAACACTAAGGTGGAAGGTGCTGGCTCCCACCTCGGTGGGGTTCCTTATCCGTGGCGGGGTTTATTCTGAGCGTTGTAGGTGCTGTTCGTGGGCTGAACCGATTTTGGGGGTGCAGTTCAGCACAACGGATGGCTCCTGTCAAGCTCAGATCAGAAACGGATGTGGAGAGGAGCCCCAGTGACGGTGAGATCTGGGCATGCCCGAGTTCTTCTGGGCTGATGGATCTTACAGTGTGGTCACATCCCACATGCTTCAGTCAGAGTTAAGCCTGGGAAATGCATGGGCTGAATAGATCAGCAATCTTGTCAGGAACATGAGCTGCCTTGACTTCACAGGAGGAAAAAAGGGATATAAACGTCAGGCACTATCATAGCTGCCCGGATCACTGTTTTTTAGTGGCAAGATGGGACCTAACTCTAAGTAAATGTGTTCATATGTCTGAACTGCCTCTCAGTTGGCTCCCAGGTTCCTAAATCCAAATGTTCTGCTGGATCCTGCTCACAGAATTGGCTCCGCAAGAAGGACTTGATTAACCCTTTCCAACATACACTTGGGAATACTGTTTCCCTAAGAGAGCACCCCAGAATAAATCTGTGAGAGGAAAATGTAGTCATCATCAGTACATTTCCATCTGTTTATCTTTTAGGCCATGGCAGAAGATGCTGTTGCTGTAGTTCATCAACACAATGGGACCTAAAATTGGGAAAGGCTGCTTTATGATGTTTGAACGCCTTAAAATGAGAACTCAGCAGGTTTCTCATGAGCTTGATTATTCCTTCCCACTTTTTAATGCTCAGTGATTTTATGCAACCGGCAAATCCAGTTCCATTAGAGCAATCTGTCTTGTCTCTTCCCATCCCTCCCCTGAGTTTCCAAAGGCCTGTCTTCCTTCTGATCAGTATTCTACACAGCCAGAATTTACCCAGAACTGGATTCTCCCATGCCAGATTTGAGGGGAGGGGGAACTACATTTGAACAAACTGCTGAATGCATTTCCATGGTGGCTCTGCCATCCAAGGTTTGGTCACTGTGGGTATATTTCTGACAAGCAAACATCGAGTTTTATTGGTTAAGGAGGCCATCCCATTGTGTTCCACACACACACGCCCACACAACTACAGTGCTGTGTGGCTGAAATGGTCTCTATGGGAAAATCATAAAAGGTGAGGAGAATGACCTTAATATGCTTCCTGTAGACATTACAGTAGCTGCAGCAGTATAATATAGTATCTTTAATAAGTACATTTTAAAAAATCAATACAAATTTGCAGTCTTTGTTTGCAAGGCCTTTGAGCTTGATGCCGTGTTGGGAAGGAGATGCCGATAACTGCTGTAAACGTGCAGTGGTTCCTTTCGCAGGAGACAGGCCTTGCGATTCAAGCAGGCCCACCACAACGGCTCTGCCACGGAGTGAGCAGCGCTCTTGCCCACTCTCAGATGTGGCAGCTGCTGCGATCACACATTGCGAAGAGTCAAAGGCACTTTTTCTTCCAAGGCAAAGACCCGGGAACCCTGCTTTGTTCTAAGCTCTTTTTGGGTCTGAATAGAAAGGAGATCGGCTGAACTTCTAGGAGAACCTCGTTTTTTCCTGGGTCAGCCATTGCTCCCTGCAGTCCATTCCATGGTTGACTTTAGGCACTGGTGCAGAGCCTCAGCCGCCAGGGACAAGGGGAAAGGGGAGCGACCCCGTGTCACCAGCGTCTCTTGCACTCTGCTCTTCAGATCCCCAGACATTCTTTAGGCCTGTTTGTTGTAACTTGCACATTCTGCTTATGAGTGGTTTTATTTGCTCTGTTGGATTTGAATCTTTAAAAATAACAGGAGCGGGAGGGACGCGCTCCAATGGAGCAAAGCTCAGGGAGCCAAGGTTCCATTTGGATGCCAGGAAGCACTTCCTGACAGTCAGGACCCTGAGGGTGTGGAATGGTGCGAGTTGGTCTGAAACATCGCCCCACGGACGTATAATTTGCTTCTCGCAAACGCTGTGCCACCGCATTTTCCACCTAGTTACTGTAGCTAGATTTGTATAAATAAAGTGATAAAGTGTATTTGACATGCATCTTTGTTGCTTTGTTGATAACTCCGAGTTAGAGAACAGCCTGGGAGTTTGTGACATCCTTGGGGCAGGAGGGGAAATGCTCCCCTTCCACGGAAAGGGTCCCTTCCAAGGGATATCTTCCCTCTTCCCGGGGCGAAGCCCCTTCCCCACAGCCGCCACACGCAGAGACAGGAAGCACTTCCGGACAGTCGGGACCCCGAGGGTGTGGAATGGGCTCCCAAGGGAGGTGGTTGAAGCCCCATCGGTGCGGGTGTTCAAGGATAGGCTGGACATGCACATGGCAGGCACGTCGTGAGCGGAGCCGGCTGGAGCCTGGGGTCAGACTAGATGGCCCGGGAGGTCCCTTCTGACTCGCTCTGTGTCTATGTTCCTAATGAAATATTTAAAATAAGTACAAAGGACACTGCAGTAAAATTAGAAGCAGAAGGGTAGCAACTGGAGCAATGCAGCACAGCCATCATCACAAATGCGAAGTAAAAGTAAAACGTTGCACATTGCCCAGCAGAGAAAAGTTGCCCATCCCGCTGTCCCCTCTGGCCTGTCTCCTCTCGTGTCCTGCGTAGAGGGGCCTGGTGCAGTCGGCGGCTGCTTGGCATCCCGGGGAAGGGCTGCAGCCCCGCACGTGCGCATGGGCTGAACGTGGAACGCAGCAGGGCCCCGGCACAGTCCCTGGTGGGGCTGGGAAAGGCCCCCTGGCCATGCATGCTCGAAGCTCTGCTGCCTGCCAAATACCCGAGCATGCCCCTTCGTGCCCAGTCATTTAGCACGCCACACCCTCACTGAATATGAGCAATTTTTAATTTGTGCTCCAGGGAAGTCAGCTGAAGTCAGCAGCTCCTATCAATACCGGTCCACTTACAGCGCAAGGCGGTGTAATGAAAATCCGATCAGAGGCCTGGCGAGAGTAAATAAGTATGCCATTAAAATGAGAAAATCAAACCCCCAGACAGGTCTTTTCTCTCCTCCATTGATTCCTTTTATTACGGAAGTATTGCAGCTAAATAACATTAGTGTGAACCATCTTGATAGTGTTTTCTGCAGATTGCGTGTCGATAACCCAATTGCAGGTCGTCTCCGTGCATTTGGGGGCCACCCTGCTCACCAAACAGTTAAGGGGAAGCGCTGGTCCTTTACGGCGACCTTCCCTGCCATGTGGAGGAAGGATTCTGAAGGACAACCTGTGAGAGTTTGAAGAATGTGTGGTCTCTTGGCTGGATTTCCATTACGTGCATTTCTAAACCCTCCGGAGTCTCTCTTGCAAGGGGTCTAGTAAGGGCTAGGCAGGAGTGTTGACAGTTGGTCCGCGTTGAGGAAGCTGGTGTCAGAGGCCAAGCAGTTCCATTCAAAAGCCTGCTCAGACAGGACGTGTCAAATGCTGGCGTGGACGTTGCCACGAGGTTTTGTGCCACTTGGGCCAAGAGGTGCAGGGGAACTAAGCACCCAACTTCCCGTTTGATGATCCTTCCCTGGAAATGCTCCTCTGCATTTCCCATCATGTCACGTAATATCGGAATTGGACCCATTATGCTGCCCTGATGAAACACATTGCCAAGGGTCGCTGGCTCAATCCTGACACATCTGCCAGGGAACTGAGCACACCGGGGCCTGTTCCGTTCCTGCTACTCGCTGGCTCCCCCCGATTTTCCTGGAAGCCTTTGCAGCACCGAAGAGCCACCTCTGTAGCCTGCAGAAGCAACCCATGCACAAGCCATGATTCTGCGTTGGATCTTAGCAGCTCATGCCTTGAATAACCCAGTGTTGGCAATCCAACAACAAGGCATAAGGGTTTTTTTTTTTTTTTTAAATAGGGTTATGTTTCACGGAAGGGTTCATCCAAGCACCCCTGCAGGGGTGCCTCTAGAATCTGGCTCAGATGAGCAGAGGAAAGAGGCGGGTGAAGCTGCGAAGCCATCCGAGCTGGAGACGGGGGCATAGCACCGGTTGTCCAGCCGATCCTTCTGCAACCACGGGACCATCGAGGCAGAGTGAAGAGGAGGGAGGAGGCACTGGAGACCTCGGGGGTAGGCTCCAGAGGAGGCTGGAAGAGCGGTGTGTGCTGCTCCGAGCAATTTGCTGCCGAAGATGCTCCGTGGGGAAGATGGCCTTGCAGCAGGCTGCATCAGCAGGGGGCTCTAACCATTTCCTGTGCTCTGCTCACAACTCTCCCGTCTGCCTCATTAGCTTTATAGGCTGCTAAAACAGCTCACCTCTTTTGTAGCCACTCTTCCTAACATATCCCAAAGCAAGGTCAGGTCCCTTGTAACTTTTTACATAATAAAGCTAAGCGATTAGAATTATAGATCAGTGGGTTAACCCACCGTTAACTCATAGTCATGAATCCAGGCCTAATGACAACCCTTGATTTAGGCATGGGTTGCCGTTGGCGGAGAAGGTGGTGTATGAATACAAGGTTAACGAGAAAACGTGTGTGTATGTAGCTGCAGGAGAACTGCAGAGAGAACGAGGGGGAAGCGGTCCAGGTTGCGTGCCTGAGCTGCATCCTGAAGGGCCATCCTTGGGTTGAGCACGAATGCAGGGAGGAAAATTCCCAGCCTCGGCAGAGAGGGTGCCGACAGGGCAGTTGTCAGAGGATGGGGGCAAAGCCTTGTTCTGATTGTGCGTTGTGCGGTTCCAGGGCGTTCTGCCTTACACGCGTAATGGTGTGCCAGCAGCCTTGTGTGCTGTATTCTTAATAAATATTGCCGGTTTGCTTTTCTTCAGTCTCTTTGGTCCATTTCGTGTTGAGTGTGAACCACAAGGACTGTTTTCACCCAAGGTGCTCTGGGGCTTCTAGATGGGTGGCTTCTGGGGTGAGCAATCCAACAGTGGCAGTGGGAAAACTAGGGGGATAACACGTGGAAGAAGACCCTGGAACTCTCCCCCTCACCACTGCCCTGAAAATATCCATGTTCCGGGTAGGACAATCACGAAGTGAAAGCAGTTCTGGAAGGACCCTCTAGGAGACAGTGAGGCAGGTGATTTGTGGGCTAGGCCTGCCCCACAGGAGGAGGGGGACACGCGCCCCAGAGCATCTCACTATGGGTGAGTCACAGCCACCAAGGGGAGTCCTCACCCACCGTCCGTCCGAAGGGAGCAGCGGCAAGGGAGGACGCGGGAGGTTACTGGGCCCCTTCCAGGAGGGGAGCCTCACCTCACCACAGCCGCAAAATGGCCAGAATGGCTGCTCGGAGGGGCTTATACTCTCCCAGATAGTCAGAAGGCTGGACTAGAAATGGCAGCGAGCCTGAGAATGTAACCTGCTAGAGAGGCAGGCTCCAATTCAGTATACCTGGATACTCTTCCAGGCCAGCTGAATAATGGAGTCTTTGGTTCAGGGGATTCTGGTTCTAGCCCCATTTAAGAACAGGGTTGTTGCCCCTACATACCGCAGTGTGTAGCTGGCAGAGCCCTTTTGCTTTCGACAATTGTGTGGCAGCCACAAGACGGGCGGGGAAAGCTTTTCTTTTTCAGCAGCGGGAGGCCGCGAAGGGCATCACTCCACCCACTTGGCAGCACCCCCTACGCATAAAGGGCAACTTGATGCAGCCAAATCAGCAATGCTAGCAGGCAAGCCCCATCATTGCATTTTGGTCCCACCCACATTAAGTCCAGTTCCGATCAGAGGAACCCAGACCAGGAAGGACTCAGCACAGCCGTGGGACCCCTGCTCTGCGGGCGGCTGGTCCCAGATGCAGCGCCGGGCCTCACCCAGTCGGCCCAGGAGAGCCTCTGCTTCGAGACCCTGGGAAGCCAGCCGGTCAGCGGTCGACCGAGCAGGAGCAGCAGGGAACTTCCCTCCAAATAAATATTCTGCAGGGGAAGCTGGAGGGCCCCAACCCCTTTGCTATCCCTGGCCTTGTTACTTGTCTTCCTGATTTACTGGGCAATGTAGGCGCTACCAGCTTCGTCTCTCCTTCTCCCCCTCCCTTCTTGGTTCAAGTCACTCTGGTGCCCACCCCTCGTGGTCCCAGTATATGGAACTGGGGTTTGGCACTTAAGGCAGAAAACCCCATGAGCTGCCCCCCACCGGGCAGTAATCCATAAAGTGAACTGGATCCAACTCAGAGTAGACCCATTCAATACAGTGGGACTTAAGTGAGTCAAGTGGTGCTGGTTTCAACAGGTCCACTCCCAAGTCGAGACCCACCTCAGCAGTAAGAATTAATAGCTGACAATTTGCCTCTTTTTTCATGACCCCAAAATTCTGACACCCGAGAAGGCTGCCTCCTTCTGCCTCAAGGCGGGGCGGCCGGCTTCCTTCCTTCCTTCCTTCCTTGAGCAAAGGACCAGCTTGTGCCCTGGCTTTCAAAGGAAGAGCCAGCGAGCAAGACGCGGCCTACGAAGGTGCAGCATCATTCAGCAGAAGCACTGCAGCGGTTACATAACTGTCATAATCCAAAATGGGGCATGGCAGCGATGAGCGACCCCCCCCCACCCCTGCCCAGACAGGAACGGATGTGCTGGCTTGCTCCTCAGCTCACATTCTCTCTGCCCCCGGCTTTGTCTTGCTGCCCTTCCGTGTACAGTAGCCATCGATTTGCTTACAGCGCTATCTGTCTCGCAGAGCTCGGCCTGGGTTCTCCGTGAAGTGTCTATATATCTCCCGTATCCCTTAGTCCACCGTTATCTGGATATCTGCCGCGACTATCTGTCTGTCTGCCGGAGTTGTCGAATGATTTACCTGCAGCATCCATCAGCCTGTAGCCTTGGCCCGGAATATCGACGGCTTCCTCACGCTCTCCCTTTTACGACGGCAGGTGGAGACACGGCGAGCCAGTGCACTTTGGGAAAGTGAAGAAATTCGTAAACTCCAGGCACTCTGCCCTGGGGACAAATGAAACCACACAGCATTGAAAGGTATCAAAAATCCATGAGGCAGAGCCAAGGTGTGAAGCTGGTGGAGTGGGGAAGAGAAGGTGTTGTCATCACAGCCTTTCTATTCCCCCCCCCCCACCAGAAACTAAACATTGTGCTTATAAATACGATTTAATTGTTTTCTGGTAGAGAGAACTGGTTCCCCTTGTCTGCCTGTTTACCTTGGATTCTTGAAACATAGAAACAGACCGAGTCAGAAGGGGTCTCCTGGGCCATCTAGTCTGACCGCCTGAAGACACAACTGTTGTTTCCATATTGCTTGATATAAAACTAAGAAATTCCAGATGGTTTACATAATCTTCTTCCCTTTTCATTTTCACAACAACCCTGCAAGGTAGGACAGGATAAGAGTCAGAGGTTGATCCCAAGTCCCCCAGTGGGCTTCATGGCTGAGTGGGGACTAGAACTTGGATCTCCCAAGGCCTAAGCCAAAACCCGCAGCCCCCGAATCCCTCCAGCAATAGCGATGGCCTAACAGCCTCTCTGCCTGCCCCCTGAACTGGCGAAGAACGGGAGAGGCTGCTGAAACATGCCTTGCTGCGTCTGGCACCCCGGCCTCACCTGCTCCGCAGGGTCGTGGTGGAGATAGAATGGAGGGGAAACGACTCCCGGACTGGGAACGGCAGGGCTGTGCTCCGTGCGTGAGGCGTCACGCGGAGATGTGGCCTGCGGTGTCCAGATCGCCTGGGGAGACCGCGAAGGCCGCCGTGAATGAAGCGCAGGGCCTGGCCGCCCGGGGGCTCGCCCGGGGCCCGCGGCTCAAGTCTTCCTTCCTCTCCGTGTCCCCAGCAGGGTTCTGAGGAGGAGGAGAGAACCAGGCCCCCAAGAGGCTCCTCCTGCTCCCAAGAAGGGGCCGGGGCAAGTGGGAGGCCCACCTGGTCCCATCCATCAGCCACAAAAAAGACTGCGCAGGTGGGGGTCAACGAGGGGAGGTGGAGGCAGGTGAGGGAGGCACTTTGCAGGAGGAAACAGGCAGGGAGGGGAAGGGGCACGGCACACTCTGCCCCTCCCTTCCTCCGGTTGCTTGCTGCAAGCCGCCTTCCCCGCCTCCTCAGGACCCCACGGACCCGTGTTTCGGGGGCACCGCGTGCCGGGATCGTGTGTTGCCCAGCGGAGGCCGCCGGCGCCTTTGCAAGCTCCTCCCAGGCCGGCCTGCGGAGTGGCTGCAGCTGCGCAGGCCAAGCTCCAGGCCCGCCGGCACACCTGTCCCCCCAGGGGGGTGGCGGAGCCGTGGCACACCGGGTCGACGTGCCGGGACTTCCCGCCTCGCCTGGGCGTGACGCGGCCTCCGTCCCCTCTGGGGTCCCTGAAGCTCTCGCAGCAGCAGGAGGGCTGCCTCCACACAGGATGCGGGGCTTTTGGGCCCTGCGTGGAGGGACTGCCAGAAGCAGCCGGGCACGTCAGAATCGCCCGCTCTGCCCCACTGAGTGGCAGGGCTTCCTTCCAGGGGAAGAAGACCCCCGAGGTGCAGCGGCCGACTCGACCGCCTCACTTGGAGTTGCACTTCTTTCGTCCCGCACCAGATGTCGCATTTCCCCTCCGTTGCTGCGGGATGAGGCGGTGCCGGTGCCTCCTTTCCCCACGGATGAATCCCGGCGGGCCTGGATGGGGTCCGGCAGGCCTCTTTCCCCAGACAAGCCCCGAAGGGGAGAGGAGCCGCTGCCCCCCATTGGGGGAATCCTCCTGTGAAGGGGAGGGATCTCGGCCGGCACTCGGCGCCCTGCTTTCGCAGAACGGGAGCTGGAGGAAACCCGAGTGGCTTTTCCATGACTGGCATCCAGGGGCACCTTCCTGGACCCGAGGCGGCTGGAGAGGAGCCACCTGTGCCGGCTACTGGCTGGGTTCGGCGGGAGCCTTGAGGCACTGCCTGCGGCCCGATCCTCTGGCCAGGCTCCCAGTCCTGCCGTCGTGGTGCCTGGAGGAATGTTGGGCGGGACCCCGAGCACTGGGCACGGCCCCCGAATGCGCCTCTTGTCTCCCCCGAGCCACACCGTGGGCGAGCAGAGGAGAGGGAAGGGCCCCCTCGTGCCGGACTGCTGCGCCTGGCAGAAGGCAGCCCCTCCCCCCCGTGACCCCTGCACAGCATGGCACACGGTGGCCAGGGGGGCCTTCTCTGCTGCCTCGCCACAGCGCTCACCGTGGCGACCTGCTCCCCCTCCGCCACCCAGCCACGGCTCTGCCAGCCCAGTGAGCAACCTGAGCAGGCGCCCCCCACCACGGGTGTCCTCCGGCGCCTTGGGGGGGCAGCCGGGCTGGCTCCCTTGGCCCCCACGGCCCCTCTTTTTGCGGCTCTTGGCGAGGGCCTCTTCCAATTTTCGGCTGGACCGGCTTTGCCCGTCACCTGGACTTGGACAATGCCCCAAGCCACTCTGGGCTCCACTCCACGGCTGCTTGGGGTGGTTTCTAAGCCCCTGCAGCAGGCTTCTGCCCCTCCCCAAGAAAAGCCGGGGGGGGGGCATTCAGAGGACACGCCGCACCATCCCTCCCCCCAGCTAAGCATGCTGTGTGACTCCAATTAAACAACGCTTCACCTCGTAAACCAAACAAAAACCCAATAGTTGAGTCAATTCCGAAATACCTGCGCTTTAAATGTAACCATGCATTGCGTTGCTGCACCGCCCAATGGCCAAAGCGCTCTTCTAATATTCAAGTCTCGGTACGTTTAGAACAGAGGCTGGTTTTATGCATCTTGCACGTCACGGGCTGGTTTGGAAGGAGCCATGCGCACGCCCGGGGCTGCGCTCGGCTTGGCCGGCCCTTGCTGCCTGCAGGAGCGTTCTTCGCGCAAGACCCCCGAGGACTGTGGGACCTCTCGCGCTTCCAAGGTCGGCTCCTGCGTGGGACAGGCCAGGTGGGCCCGGAGAGCCGGGCAGCAAGCCGACAGACTTCCGTTCCAAGCCTGGAAGGATGGCCTCCCGTCCTGTGTCCCATTATTCACTGTTCTGCAGACGCAACTTCTCTTGCCGTATCTGATTGTGTTTTACAGTCATCCATTTTGCCTGGATGCTTATTTAGAACTATCGACTGCCCGTTTTAACGAACGTATTTGCAAGAGAGTGTCAAAGCCTTTTCCTTCCCTCTTGAGCTGTTTTTCTTCTGGGCAGGTGAAGTTGCAAATGGTCCCTGTGAGTGGAGATGCAAGGGCTCGTTGTGTTTCTTTTATTATCACAGCAAAGAAAATTCAGAAGGTAATCCCTAGCATATCCCTGTCACTGGTGGGATTTGTGGAAAGACCTCTTCTGACGATCTTGATGTCAAGCTAGCATAGGAGGGGGAGGCCGTTGCTCAGGCCCCTGGGCGTGAAGCCCCTTGGGCTGGCTGGGGAGGGAACTCTGGGAGGCAGCGGGCTCCCTTCCTCTGTGCCTTGGCACACCTCACGTTTAAAGGGATGGCCACAGCCTCCAGCTGGCCGTGATTCCTAAGCTGCTTTCCAGAACTGCTCCCATTCACCCAGGCAGAGCTGGGGCAAACAATCCCGGCCTCAGGTATAGGCCAGTGCTTGAGCGCATGAGTCTGGGGCTCCGGCAGTATGGGTTCCAGCCGCTGTTCAGCCATGGAACCAGCTGGGTGACTTCGGGCCGGTCACAGACTCTCAGCCCGGCCTGCCTCACAGGGTGGTTCTTGTGGGGATGAAGCCGAGAGCATCAGGAGCAGAATGATGACACTGCTTTGGGTTTGTAGAAAGGGGAAAAGCCAGGATATAAATCTAATAAATGATGGTAGTTTGGGGAGGGAAGCTCCCTGAGGAGGGAAAGGGAAAAGGAAGTGCTTCTTCACACAGTGTGTAGTTAAACTGTGGAATTTGCTGCCCGGGGAAGTGGGGATGGCCGCCCGTCTGGTGGCTTTCAAAGAGGACTGGACAGCTTCATGAAGGAGGAGGTTATCGGTGGCTACTAGTCTCGCTGGCCATGGGCTGCCTCTTTCACCAGAGGCGGCCTGCCTGCACACACCGTTTGCAGAGGAGCTTGGGCGGAAGGAGGCCTTGCACCCATCCTGCCTGAGGGGTCCTGTGGGCAGCTGGTGGGTACAGAGTGCTGGACCAGGCAGGCCTTGGGTCTGGTCTGGCATGGCTTTTCTGAGGCTCTTATGTTCTAGGTACATCAGTTGCTCAGGCACCCAGTGGCCGCCACACTGAGGCAGCCTGCCTGTGATGCTGAGGTAGCACAGAGTCATGAGGACTAGTGGCTTTGGATAGCCTCCTCCTCCTGGAATTTATCCCATCTATCTTGGTGGAATCACTACATCTTGCGCTAGCAAATCCCATAGCTGGACTATGAAGAAGTGCTTCCTTTTTGCTCTTCTGAACCTCCCGTCCTTTGGGCTTCATTGGATGACCGAGCTGGGCTCCAGCATGGCAGGAAAGCAGGAATGCCCTGCACACGGTGCTTGTCTCTCCAGCAGGCCTGCCTCACCTTGCCTTTTCTCCTATGCGAAAAGCCCCAGACGTCACACTCTTTCGGTCCTGCAGCCCCAGCTCGCTTTGGCTGCCCTTTCTGGGGCCATCCCAGCTCTGTCCAGCCTTTCGAAGGATGGTGGCCAGAATCGGGCAGCAGCAATGCGCATTAGCTTTGATTCAAGGGAAACGTCCCTGATTTTCCCCAGAAATCACATGACAGGTAATAATGTTTACCTCTGGTCCTTCTAACCCGCCTCGCCCTTCCCCGCCAGCCCGAGTGGGCCTTTCCCGGCAAGCCTTGTCTTGTCGAGTCACTTCTGCCGAGCACCTGCCCTGTCCGTGAAGGGCTGAGAGGGAGGAGGCACCTGAGGGGAAGCTGCCCCCTCTTTTGGCTTTGGGGGGGGGCCTTGGGGAGGCATCCCCCCACCCTGAAATGTACAGCATTTTAAAGAAGGGTGCTGTTGCTGCATGGATCTTAATGGTTTTGAGCAGCACCGGGTTTAGCTGTTCCACGAAATGACGTGTCAGTCTGGAATCTGGATTGTGTGTGACGATTCCCTGCCGGGATGCTTGAAGCGCAAGAGGGACGGCAGGAACGGTCCTGCGGGGGGGGGGGGGGCGTGTGTGGCCAGCTCTCCCTGCTGCAAAGTGAGCCGCATCGACAGGATTCCCCTTCCAAAAGCAGGGTAAGGCAGGCAGCGTGGGAGAGCGGAGCCTCTTCTCTTCTGCAGAGCTCAGAAGCAAGACCCCCAATGCATGGCGCGCCTGTGCCGGCTCCACTGAGGCTTGCAAGCCCGGCCAAACAAACCCGGGGGCCAAACTGAGCCCCCCAGCCTCCCAGGCTGCTCCCTGCAGGTCCACACGCTTTCCCTGCAGCCCCACCCCCTTTCTGATCCTTTGGGGTGTTTGGGGACTTTGGTTCCCCCTCCACCCCTTCGAAAAGGTCGAGCTGCATCTCTGAAGGCTTAGCTGGGGGCAGCAAACGCTTTCGGCTACAAGACACTAAGGCGCCAGAAGTGTCTCCCTGCCTCCACCGCCACTGAGGTCACCCTCGCCGCACAGCCACCTGGTGCATGAACACTTCCTGGTAGCCACAGGAGAGCAGAAATGCCGCCCAGGCGAGTGAGGGTGCTGCACCTGGCAGGTCGCCAGAGGAGGGAAGCCGGGCGTAGTAAATGTCTTTGCAGGCCAGGGATCATAAGATATGACGACATTCTGGATAATGATGGAGGATTGAAATTGAATCAAGGAACGCAAGAACAGGGATCTAGTATTTATTGGTGGCGTAAGGTGCAGATACAATCGAGATATGCTAAAGACCATAAAACGTGGGGCTTTTATAAAGATTTAACAGCATTTGATCAGGTGATGCTTAAATCAGATGAGAACATGATTAAAAGACTATATAATTTCTTACTCGATAGGAGAATGGAAGTTGAACAGGTTAAGGAAACTATGATAACGTGGGCACAAAACTTTGGATATGATATTGAATTAGAAAAATGGCAAAAGCTGTGGGAGAGAAATATTAAGGTAACATTAACAACTTCGTATAAAGAAAACCTGTATAAAATGTTTTATAGATGGTATCTGTCGCCATATAGATTAGCTGTTTCCAAATATGTCAAATGGATGTTGGAAATGTAAACATAAATTGGGTACTTTCTATCATATGCAGTGGACTTGTGATAATGCGAAAAAGTATTGAATTAAAATACATAAATAGCTTGAGGAAGTGTTACAATAACCTTTAGCTTTTAAACCTGAAGTTTTTTTTATTAGGCATTATACCTGCTGATATTAGTAAACAAGAAATGTATTTGATCTTACATGTAATCACTGCGGTGAGGATTGCATTTGCCCAACACTGGAAAAGTGAAGAACCACCAACCGACGAACTGATCCTAAAAAAGATCTTGGACTGTGCAGAAATGGACAGACTGACTTTGTCATTGAAGGAGAAAGAAGATGCTGATTTCTATCAAACTTGGGACTCTTTTTATTACTGGCTAGAGAAACGGGACTTCGTATAGATTTAAATCTGTTTCTAAGTTATCATAAATGGAAAAAAATGTGGGGGCTGACCCAGCAGGTCCGATGTTTCTGATGACTGATGTTCTTCGTTTTTCTTTGTTTTAGGGTTATAATTTTGAATAAAACTTATTGTAAATGTCTTTGCAGGCCAGTAACTTTTTGGGCACCTTAACGCATGCATGTTTGCTCAGAAGTTAATCCTGCTTGGTTCAGTGGAGTTTACACATGGGTAAGGGAGCAGAGGGCTGCAGTCTTGATAGGATACTGGAAAGACAGGACCATACCGAAAGAAGTGAACCAAACTCTACCGAGGTGAGGGTGTTAATTTCTGCAGATACAAATCTACAACAAATTAAAAGGTTGACGTGAGATCAGAGGTTGTTTAAAGTATGAGGAAACAAAAAACTTCCATGGAAAAGAAGGCATTGGATAGCTTTATCTTAGAATGAACCTGGCTTTTATTTTGTTTTGTTTTGTTTTGATGTATGGTCTGCATTAGTTGTTCTTCCTCCACAGCTTTCCAATAATAAACAATTAAAATATCATAAATATAAAGCCATGACACACATCACAACAGAGGAGGTAACATGGTTTGGTGCAAAACCAGGCAGGCTTTAGGATAACACAGGATTCTTCATCAGAAGATGTTCAGCAAACCCAAGGAATTGTCATTGCCTGGAGCAAGACAGCAGCATTTTTCTCCATGCTTATTTTCCTTCTTCTGTAGTGCTGACAATTTTGTTCAGGGTTTGACACCCTTTTGGCCGGCACTGCTACCTTGCAGGACGTACTGACCGGGGGAATTTCCTGGGAGACCAGGTGGGAGGGAGGGGAACAAAGGAGGCCATTCAGCAGCGGTCACTTCTTCCAGGGAGAGACCCACCTGCCCTGCCCTGCTCACCCGCTTTCCTGTTGCTTATCTCCAACATAAACATGCTGCAGAAAGCCTGGATCCTGATGGGGTTTATTAGCAGCCCTCTGCATCTGGTTTCACAGCCAAACCCCAGACAGAGCTACTGAGCAATGCCAGCTGTGGAAAGGGTGGGGGGGGGGGGAAGCGGGGGCAGAAGAACAGCCTGCTGAAATTTCAGCAGCATCTTGGAAGCTCCGGAGTTCTCGGCCGGCCGTCACAGAGCACCGCATGCTCACTGTCACATCCCCCCGCCCCCGTGCAAAATATCCTGCGATGGCAGCGCTCAAATGGAAGTGGCAGGTCAGGTCGAGCAGCCGACCCTGTGAACTAGCAACCACTGGGATCCCTGGGTGACCGGGGGGCACGTGGCCGGCCTCTGGACAGCCACGGAATATATGGCGCATTCAGCCTCCAAACCTCAGGGGGTCTGTGTGTGTGGCACGGGTTCAATTCAGCAGGCATTTCCACCTTCCTCTGCATGTGCATACAAGCAAACCGGGAACTCCATCATTGTGTTGTGGTTCACAACACACCCTGTTACGCAGCAGGTGTGCACAAATAAATCTGTAGACCAGAGCCCAAGAGGAGGGGAGTCCCAGAAAATGGCACCCCGACACACCTGTAGCCTGATTCGGAGACTCATTCGAAGAACAGAACCTGAGGAAGTGTATGGTGGGTCTTGCGCTGGAAGATGGGGGGCTGATGGGGGGTCCGTGATAACGGCCACCCTCCTTCGCTGGGTAGTTTGAAGTGGCTGTTTCTCTCAGCCTCCTCTTAGCAGCCTGCCTGGCTGGTCTGCCCGTGTATCTTTGAAAAAGTTTGCAAGAAGTGCAATGATCTGAGCACAGTTTGGCCTTGCGGCTTGAAAGAGTGCCTGCAGCAGAGACGGCAGCAAAGCAGGCTTGCGATATTTCTGACTGTGGCTGATTTTAGCTGAGAAGATCTCGAACACTGGTCAGCTTCGTAGCTGGATGTGCTCAGACTGTCTAGGCCAGACCTGGGCATTGTAGAACTGAGCAAAAAAAAAAAAAAAGAACTGAGGTATTGCAAACAAACCAAGCTGGATGCATTTATAGGGAATCCAAAGGCAACTTGGATTGTTAAGTTTTCTGTTTCTCTATTCTAATTCGTAAGGTCTGTACCTTACTATGTTAAGCGCTGGGAGATTACATATGTTGTAAATTTGCGCTGTATAAGTAAAATTGAACTGAATTTATTGCTTTTCATGTAATGTTAATGTTTTTGTGAATATTCATTAAATAGTGTTGTTCTGTGCTCCACATTTTCATTGTAATGTTTCGTTTACTGTTTTTATAGAGATATATATTGAGCAGAGCTGTCAGTGTATTGGTCCGGCCCTTAACAACTGTCAAAGTTTCTCATGTGGCCCCCTAGGAAAACTAATTGCCCTCCCCTGGGCTAGGCGGAGGCTCCTGGTGCCGCAAAGCGAAAGTCACTGTGAAGCTGGGCTGTTCGGCCTTTTCCTCCTTCCTGGAAGTGTTGCCAAACGTACAGAGGGGAAGCAGCAAGGGAAAACATCGTGCAGGCCCCATCTGCGTCCCTAACTGAGGTGGGGTCATTGCAGGATAAAACCCTTGCCTGGAAGAGCCTCAGCTCGCCTGTTTCGAAGCACCTCTCCAGAAGCTGCCGGCTTGAGTCCCCCTGCCTGTTCGCTGGGCTCTTCTTCCAAAGATGAAGATGAAGAATGTCTGCCAGATAAATCGGGAGGGATGCAGCTTTGCCGGATTACAGTCAGAACTTCCACATCTCTGCTCAGAAGTTCTGCCCTTTGCGATGTAATTAAACAGCTAAGTGAAGTGTCTGGGTTGAGGAGACCTTATTCCAGGAAGCGATTAATTAAGGCCAACAGCGGGTAGGTCGGGAAGACTTGCGGTGCAGGACATGAAGTGCCTCCACCGCTGGAAGTGAAGGGGTCGTGAGAGAGGAGGGAGGGCCCCCCCCCCAACGAGCTGTCTGCCTTCCCCAGGGAGACCCCCTCCCACACCGCAGCCACGCGCTTTCCAATCGGCACTGCAAAGAGAGTTGGCTCTTTCCCTTCACAGCTTTTCTGTGCTAAGAAAAACAATGCAGGAAGTGTTGGGAAAACCCAGGAGGCTGGAGGGACTTGTGAGGTCATCTGGAACCCTGTAAAATTGCAGGAAGGAGTAATGTGACTGCTGATGAAAAGCCTCGTATTTTAAAAGCATCCCAAACGTCCCCCCTGCAAAGAACTCGCAGGGTGGCCGCAGAGGGGGTGCTTCTCTGTCAGCCTCGGCTCCCCCCGCCCCGCCACCTGCAGCGCTGCGGTGTCAATACCGGCCTTCTCTAGCAGGCCGTGGCAGAAGCCACTGAGCTAATGCAGATGAAGCGCTTCAGACACTCTGAGCAGCTTCTCAGCGACACGTAGGTCGAAGCTGGTTGCAAGTACGGGCCATAATCTGCAACGGAGGCCGTGCAGCTTGCAGGTTCCCCGTGATAAACTCTGGCGGCACCAAAACGCTCCTGCTACTTCCAGGTCCCCTTCAGAATATTCTCTGCTCACAACGAATGTCTATGTCATTGCAGAGTAAATAACAGACTCCAGCTGCCGAGATACTTGGCCAACCAACACTCTATAAATATAGATTACCTTATAGATTATGTGCCAGTGGATACGAAGAGACCCAGCATTTTCCTACAAAGTGTCAGAAGGGAGAATTATCCACAGAAGATGCTTTTAGGGTGGCTGGGTTCATCCTTTGTTCCCACCTTCCTTCTTGGTAATTCTTACCACCTGACCTGAAGGCTTTGCTTTGATGTTTCTGATTCTGAAGGTGGGATCTAAGCAGACTAGCCTGGTCCACCTGGGACAGCTGGAATTATTGTGCCATGAAATGGGTAGCCAGTAACTCCCGTGTTCTTAGAGGCAGCACTGGATGCTAGCGTGGCAGGTTGTCAGCGTGGAACAGGCTAGGCAAAGCTGGACTGAATTGACAAATGAAATTTGCAGGGAAAAACAGGATTTGCACACGGTATTGTGATCCCTCGTACGATGGAGGTCTTGCACAAGGCATTCTAGCAGGGTAGTCGGACTTGCTCAATGGAAGGACCACATGCATAGAAACAGAGCAAGTCAGAAGGGGCCACCGGGCCATCTAGTCTGACCCCCAGCTCTGGCCAGCTCTGCTCACGACATGCCTACTGTTTATATATGGTAAACGTCAGGTGCTCGGTTTGGCCCCCCTTCCATCATACCAGGGCTACCATTCTACCGTGTGTCTCACGTTCATCCCGAGCATAAACTGGCAAGACATTTTTAGCTCTCTGTTGGACGGGGCACTCGAGGCCAAGGCCGGGCGTCGGGCGACCTCGCGTGCTGCACTGGCCTACGTGCCGTTTGCAGAGAGGCCTGGGCTGGCTGAGGCCTGGGCATCGCTCGGCTTTCTTTCCCTGGAGGGCTGACCCT